GTGGATGGCTACAATTGAGATTGGTATGCATCTTAATTACAACTATCATTCCAGTGTGAATTAAGAGAGTCCGGAATGTTGTCCAAAATTGCAGTTTGGACCGTTCAGATTCCGACCACTAATGTAGACATTATTCGTTCATTTTCGGCGATTGGTTCGCCAAATTTTGAAGAAATACTCCGTCCATTGTTGCCATTCAAACATATTGATAATATCCTGAGGAGGCATTCCCTTAATGATATACGCTCCATTATGTGTGTTTTTCGAAAAGGTTGTCCATAAATTTTCACCTAGTGTACCTGCAGACATCCGTTCATGATGGGCAGGATACCAGATCCAGTAAATGGTTGAAGCAGAGAAATCAAGAGGTGAATTTCAAGTCATCCAAATGGCTAGAAGTCCGTGAAATGCTTGTTGAGAAATTTCACAAGTCTTTTAGTTACCTGCAGTACAGGGAAAAGATGATGAGATGCAAGCAACGCAATGGTGAATACATGCATCTGTATATCGAACGATTTTTGGACTTGGTGACAAAGACCAAGCTCACCGATAACCCCACCTTGGTATCAATCTTTTTCCACTCATTGTTGGACCCTGTACGTGAATGCGTGACAAAGAAGCTCGGTACCATGAAGAGGGAAGACGGAACGTCTCCTGCTGGGTATTACGTCTTGGAAGAGGAGACTCTTGCACAATTACAGCGCATTTTTGAAAAAGAGAAGACCTTCTTCGACGATGAATTAGACAAGCTGTTCCCCTTAATAAAGAGGAATGAAGGCAGCAAGTCCCCTCATAAGGTGCTTGACAACAGAACACCGAGGACCAGCGATCGCAAGCGCAAGCATGCCGACAGTGATCGTACTACAACGCAAGACAAGAGACCACGCCATGATGGTAAGCGGCCAACGCGTCAAGAAAGGGCAAAGAACACATGCCGTCATTGTGGGGACACATATCTCCCCGGGCATCTAGGTGAATGCGATGTACTCCGCAAAAAACGAAACAGTTATTTTAATAAAGATAATGGGTCAAACGCATCTACAGTAGGTGAAAAAACCCGGGTATATTCTTTTATTTTGACGTTCTTGTGCCAACT